CTTAAGCTTCTGTACTTTGCCCTTTAGTGAAGAATGCGTGCCGATGTGTTGGAATAAGGATGGTTTGTAGTGAATCCACACATTCTCCTTGGCTTTCTTGCAGTGTTTCTGTTGAAAAGACATTAGATAATGTGGTTACATGCCAGAAACACATACATTTACTTCTCTGAAACTTACAAAGAAGTCACACAACAATGAATCTATTTCCATGTTTCTCTTTGCAAAAAAAAATCAGGGTTTATATCAGATTACAAGTTTGAAAAAAAATAATGAATATGTTGTCTATCAATTCTAAAATTGCATATCTTTTAAGGGAAACAATGTACAAATAACATTTAGATTCAACAAACAAATATAAAAGCATGCAGGTAATAGTCTTATTTCTTTAATATAAGCAAAAAGCACAAAGCATGCACATGCAAAATATTTATCACATCTAAACATTCTTTCTGTACAACTAAAAAGATATACTGAATTTTCAATACTTGGTCGTTATCTCTACATTCTGTGAATCAAAAGAATATTCCTGGATCTATCTTTCTTTTTTCTGTCCTTCTTCATTCCATTTCTCATATCATGTAGATGGCAGTCTTTCATTTTCTTGATGTATTAGAGACTAACATTCTTTATACAATAAGAAAAAATATGTATATCTATATTAGCATTCCAAATAGTTCCTATAGCAACGAGCAGCTTTGACTGAACTAGCTATAGACTGGAATCATGGTACAACCTGGTATGCAGAGAGCCAATTCCCTGTTAAAGCACTATGTCAGCCCATTTGAAAATTGGTTAAAAGCTGGTGGCACTGAAAGAGCTAGATAGCTTTTCTAGATGGAATATCTAGATATTCATTCCTCTAGGAATGTTAATCAAACTTAATCATTAGATAAATTTACAAAAAGATGACAAAGACTTTTATGAAATGTTAATTTATGAAATAATTTGGTCAAACATTCATATAGAATAGTTACTTGACTACTAGAATATCAGTAACAACCTATAATAGTTACCTCTACATATTGATTATCTAGAATTCATTATGCAGCATATTAAAACAATTGCTTAACTCATTCAACTGCAAAAAGTCTACAGGTGCACGACATAAGAGATACACACTAGAGTAAAGCTGTTGGAGTGAGAACGGGGTGAGGTGCGTCACACGTCTGAGTGGTGCCGTTAATTTCAGTTCAGGTCACGGCAAGGGCTGTATCCCATATGTCACTAGTGACCTCTGCACTGAGGTTGAATTGCAACTAATCCTCAATTGCAACTAAACCTTCAAGCACTTAATGGGAGTACATTACTTTTGCACTGATGAGAAGTATAGTGCAACATTTGCAAAAAAATCAGCCAGGCAGGAATCACATCATGGCAAAAACATACCGCAGGTTGGTCAAATCGGCAAACTTTGTTCTGAATAAGGTGGTCAAGAAGCCAGTCACACGGCTTGTCATTGTGGAACACTAGTAAGAATGTCACCAGTGCAGAGAGATCTATGGTCTTGAATGCTTTGCCTGAAATACCATCCAATTTAGCTAGTAGTGATATATCAAATGGTATTCTCTTTCTGTTGCCTTCCTTAACACCAGAAAGATAAGGAAGTCATAAAAATGGTTTAAAGCTCTACCTCAAAAAAGTCAAATCAGAACTTTAAAAACACTGAAAGTTTACGACTCTACAACCATAATCAACACCCTTATCCACAACCAATCAAAAGCACTACTGTACTTATTTCATCTACATAAACTCTTCACAAATTTTCTATTGCAAATCATCACTCCTAGAGTAAATGGTGTTCAAAAATCAAAGTCCTTGTTAGTGTATTAAAAAAACAGCAGCACATAACAGAACAATATTTCCTACTCTGAGGTTATATTTTCTGTATTTTCAGCCTTACGCTAGTTCCCTAATGTACGAAGCTCCTAAAGCTGCCTCAAATTTACAAATCGCAGACATAACTTTTAATTTCAAAAGCACTTATGTACATAGATATACTGATGCCTATACCATACAGTTGATATATAAGTTCCATCGTTCAAAGTATATATGGAATTTTCTGATATAAAGTACATAAGATATAGAACAAGAACAATACAGTAATAAACAGTTATACAGTTGTAAAAATGCAGATATTTTCACAAATTCTTCTCTTTATGAATAGATCATAAGGTTATTATCAAAAAGTAAAGTGAGTATCTTCTACAAATCTAGTAGTTTTCGGTGGATATACTGTGTGGGAAGCATATAATCCTGTAAACACATTTTTTCCATAAAATCTGAAATGTACACCATTCCAGTTACAAAAATAAATAGATTACAATTTATTGATTTCATGCTTATCAGCACCTACACCAACACCAGCATGCAGTGTGTAAATAGTAATACACAAACTGCAGATGAAACAACCATTCCAGAGGTAGAATTAGGGAGGAGTGTGTGTGTGTGTGTGTGTGTGTGTGTGTGTGTGTGTGTGTGTGTGTGTGTGTGTGTGTGTGTGTGTGTGTGTGTGTGTGTGTGTGTGTGTGTGTGTGTGTGTGTGTGGTGTGTGTGTGTGTGTGTGTGTGTGTGTGTGTGTTGTTGGGTGGTGTGGTTGGTGTGTATGTTTGTGTTGGTGGGTGTATTGTGTGGGGGTGTGTATGTGTGTGGTTGGGTGGGTGTATGTGTGTGGTTGGGTGGGTTGGTTGGGTGGTGTATGTGTGTGGTGGGTGGGTGTATGTGGTGGTTGGTGGGTGTATGTGTGTGGTTGGGTGGGTGTATGTGTGTGGTTGGGTGTGGTGTATGGTGTGGTTGTGGGTGTGTGGTGGGTTGTGGTGGGTGGCTGTGTGGGCATGTGGTGGGTGGTGCGGAGTGGTCAAGTATGTTTGAGTGTGTGTGTTTGTGTTTATTTTGTTTATTTGTTTTTGTTTTTGTTTGTGTTTTTGTTTATTTTGTTTATTTGTTTTTGTTTTGTGTTTTTGTGTTTTAGGAGTTTCATTTGATTATGCTTGTGTGCATACTTGTATACAGAAACTGTACACTTACAAAACTCATGTGTGTACCTGTATATAATGTATATACATATCATATACATACATACATACATATATGCACACACGTACATAAGACCTCAGGGAAACAAGTAGGTAAAATGAGAAGGGGTTGCAAGCATTCCTAGGATCGCAACCTTGATTAGAGTACATTAATCGCATACATCCTAACTACTTAATGCCTGTTTAGGTTAAAGAGCATTCTCTAAGACCATCACCATATCGATCAGTGGTTAGTAGACTGTGCCAAGCACATGAACAGTTACATATACTCCTTGCATCTGCTGCTGGATATCTTGCCTCAGACATGGTAGTTACTGTCTTTTATTTGTTTTGTTTTGTTTTTTGGTTGGCATCTATAGAAGTGAAGTAGTTACAGCATATATACTGGCACTGAGCATAGGACTCTCTGAGAGCAGGAGGAGGCTACACCATGTGTTGTCAAGGTTACTACCAGCAGATGAAGCTACTCGAGGGCCCACTTACAGTATCCTTGTCCAGGTTACATATCTTGGTTTGAATGAGATAGTCCAGAAGCCAATCCACTGGTTTGTCATTATAGAACATGATGAAAAATTGTACCAGGTACGGCAGTTGTACACACTTGAACATTTTGCCTGCGGATCGCCATTAGCGGTTATTGAACATCGGCAATGGTTTCTTTTCTCTTAAAAAGAACACCACACATAAGGGTCCCTAATCCTAGCACAGGTACAGCTCTACACTTAAAATTTCTAGTTGAGAGAATCCCTTTTCCTCTCCCTAGGATAGCAACCTTCTAACCTCATTCCCAGAAAATATGATGTGAACAATGAAGACCTTTAAAGAAAAACTATCAAAATTACGAAGGATGAAAATGAAAAATACCAGAGAAAAAGGTTATTTTCCTGAAGAACTGTATGAAGCTGAAAATCTTTCTGCCCACAAAAAAATTACAGCAAAGAATATCAATACAATTATTATATGAAACATAAATATGAGAAAGAAAGGGATGGAAGGGTGAGTGGGTGAGTGGTGGGTGGTGGGTGGGTGTTTGGTGGATGGATGGATGGATGGATGGATGGATGGATGGATGGATGGATGGATGGATGGATGGATGGATGGATGGGATGATGGATGATGATGGATGGATGGATGGATGGATGGATGGATGGATGGATGGATGGATGGTGGGATAGATGGATGAAAGAGGGATTGAAGGATGGAAGAAAGAGATGTATGGGAGGATAATTGAATGAATGAATATATGAATAAAGTAGAGAGAAAAAATTGAATAAAGGAATGAGTGAGTGACACAGTGACTTGTGTGATTGACTGACTGACAGAAAACATGCCTAAAACTGACTAGTAAACATTCTGTGTCACAGTAAGAACAATCAGAGGAAAAAAATATACAATTAAAAACAGACACAAAATGACTTATCAAATACATCAGAATAGGAATACATATTCACAATCAAATCCTCAAAAGCTGTATATCATATTGTAATTCACCATAAATCTTTTAAATAAGAGAAAAATAAAATCAGGCCGACATAGATAACAGACAAAAAAAAAAAAATAGCCAATCCAACCCACCTATAAATCCAAGCTGACAAAAGTCCAGAACAAACCAGTTTTTCTTCTCCGACGTCTTCTGCAGGGCAAATTTCTTCATGGTCGCAATGTAGCCCTTCTTGGTCTGAATGTCATCTTCTAACTGGACGTAGAAAGTCCCCTTCGGCTGGGCATACATCATAAGGAATGCAAAGTCCAGGTTCTGCTTGGTTCTCCATCTGCAATGCAATGGATTTTGTTTTATTGTTGGGTCCTACTATCTTTTTCCGAGGATTATAGAAGAGTGTATGAATTACAGTATTATTAATTCTTATTTGAACTTTTCTTATAATATTTGTGTTGGTGAATTCTGACAATTCTCCCAAAGGCAATTTATATAAATTGGCTGAACAATAACTGAGCCACAGAATCAAGAGGTTCTGAACATTTTGTCTAAAGTTACCAATCACAAATGATCTGTATGAATTGATTATTAAAGAGCAGTATTTTTGATTTCTTGTATGAACTTATAATCATTCTGCACATGCTATATTATTGTCATGCTTTGAATTTACTTTTAGGTATGTTAAATAAAATACAACAATTTTAACATGATTTTTACGCTCTTTCTTTCTCTTCTCCTTCTCTTCCTCCTTCTCTTTTTCTTTCTTCTTTTTTCTTTCTCTCTTTCCCTCACTGCTCAACCATCTGCTCTCACACTCGCTCACTCACGCAAATGAACTTGACCAAAGGCAAATTACTTCACTCTCTCCATTGGGTCTCCTAAGGTTTGTTCCAACTTATCCATATCCGGATAAAAGGCCTTGGGCGGAGAAATAACCTCGATCAACCCACTGCCAAGGTGCTCTGGAAACCTGCAAACAAGCAATGCGAAACCCATAGAGAAAGGTATCCTGTACGCAAAAATGTGCAGCTCCATTTTAAATTTGTAATTTTTCTTCTCTTTTTAACAGATGAAGCATTTATGTCTGTGTGTATTTTTATATGTAGACAGACAGGTAGATAAGTTAAGTAGGGGAGGAAGAGGGAAGGGAGGAAGGTAGGTAGGTAGGTAGGTAGGTAGGTTAGGAGGTAGGTAGGTAGTAGGTAGGTAGGTAGGTGGTAGGTAGGTAGGGGAGGTAGGTAGGGGGAGGTAGGTAGGTAGGAGGTAGGGGGTAGGGAGGGAGGGAGGAGGTAGGATAGGTAGGTAAGGTAGGTAGGGAGGTAGGTTAGGTAGGTAGGTAGGTAGGTAGGTAGGTACATAGGTAGGTAGGTACATAGGTAGGTAGGTTAGAAGGTAGAATGGTGCATAGGTAGATAGGTAGGAAGGTAGGTAGGTAGACAGAGATTTAGGTAGATGGATGGATAGATAGATAAACAGACAGACATACAAATGACAAATACATAGATAAAGAGATAAGATAGATGGATATATAGATAGGTAGATATGAACATGACACAGACAGAAAAATAAATAAATAGATAAACATAGAAATATGCAGATACAGATAAATGTGTAGGTCAAAAGACAGACAATGATATAGATACATATACAATACTTTTTTACATGGCAAGGCAATCTTCATTAAAAATGTATTCACAGTCTCGCATACATTCTAAAAATGTTTATGTGAGTGTTATTACAGAGGAGTATAAACAGCGTTGGTTTATATTCTTAGAAGATAAGTTACTGGCTGTCAAAATGCAAAATTTGTGGTGTCCGACTGATGAAAATGCCGTACTTACTTTCTCTCAATCTGACTGGCAACTTGGTGAACGTAGTCAATATCCCACTGAAAGAAATTTACGTGTGGTTGGCTTGTGCTGTTCAATCATTCGGAAACATAATCATTGCTACTGTAATTTATCACATAGGATGGAACAGTATATTGATGACAACAATAATAAAGACAATAATAAGGACAATATAATAATAAAATAATAAATAATAATAATAATAATAATAATAATAATAATATAATAATGATAAATGATAATATAATAACAATGATAATAAAATTATTATAATTAATAAATAATATAATAATAAATAATAATAATAATAAAATAATAATAATAAAAAATAAGAAACCAACAACAACAACCCATGAGCCACAACCCACATCCAAAAACCCACAAGCCTAAATCCCTTACAACCAACAACCTATAACTTGTATGCCTCAACTAGCAACCCACAACCCAAAAATAACAACCACATGCCACAACTAACAATCAATAACCCTCGACCCACATCCTACAACCAACAACCCGCACCAATAACTGAGCCAAACTCCAAACCATCACCTATAACCCGTAACAACCTCCAACAACCCAGCAACCCCTAAACCCAACATCCCCACAACCTAGCAACCACATAACCTAACCTCATAAACCACCACCTAACCCCACAACCCAACAACCCCTCATCACAAAACCCCATCCTACAACCCAACAACCCAAACCCCCATCCCAATAACCCCTTGCCCCACCTCAACAAGTAAACAACACCAGCCCCTATAACCCAACAACCTATAACCCTCCATCAACCGCCCCCCACTCCCAAACCACCCCAACAACCTTAATCCCACAATCCCCCCCCACCTCACTCCTTACCCAGCAACCCTATCATCCCACAATCCTACACTGCTAACCCCCCAACAACCCTCCCACCTCACTCCCCTCCCAACACCCTGTAAACCCTACATATTACAACCAAAACCACCCATCCCAAAAACCCTAACCCCAAATCACCCAACCCCCCAACCCCTAACCCCCACAACCTCACTCCCACCTAGCCCCTACCCCCAAACCCCCCACAACCCACCCCACAACCCCTCCACCCCCCAACAACCACCCCCAACAACCCACCAACCCCCCAGCCACCAACCCCCACCCCACCCCCATCAAACCCACCTCCGCAATGAACACCACGATG